TGTATTTGAAGCATCATCTCCTTTACGTCATTCAACAGAACTTTTTAATATTATTCAAAACCATGATACAAATTTACCAATTTTATTTTTATATACAGATGGAGGACCTGATCATCGAGTTAATTATTTATCTGTTCAAATCTCACTTATTTCTCTTTATTTATCTCTTGATCTTAACTACTTGGTAGCTGTAAGAACACCTCCTGGACATTCATGAAAAAATCTTGTAGAAAGAGTTATGTCAATATTAAATCTTGGACTTCAATGTGTTGAATTAATGCGTAAAAAAATGTCTAAAGAATTTGAACAAATATTAAAACACTGTAATTCAATTAAAGATAATAAAAATACAACTAAAAATTAACCAAATCTTCAACAAGAATTAAATAAAAGTTTACAACCAGTAAAAGATCTTTTAAATAGTATTTTTGTTTGTCAAAGTTTAAAAAATGAACCATTTACAACAGTAAATAGTGCAACAGCTGAGGAAATTGATCAAATATTTGATGCTATTTTAGAGCTAGATCAAACTATGTTAAAAACTGATAAAACCTGGAAAACTATTGAAAATAAGGTAATAATTTATAATTAGAGTTAGAACACTCAAAATGCATTATAATAGAACTATATTTAAAAATTAAATCAAACATGCATTTAAAAAGGTATAGTATTTAAAAAGATACAAATCTATAAATATTATATTATGTTAAGCCTATAAGAAGATATATTTAAAAGGGCATGCATTTAGAGAGGTCTAATTGTATATTATTATTGTTTAATATAGTATTTATTTATTTATTTTATTTATTTATTTATTTATTAGACTAAATTTAAAACATTTTTTGAACATTGTTGTCAATCAAGACATTATTTTTTTTCAATTAAAAAATGTGGAAATGAAGAGTGTGATATTTGCAAACCTATAAGGCTTCTACAAGATATTTTTAATTCTATCTATCATTTTCCTGATCCAATTCCTAGAAACAATGATCATTATGCTCCTTTAGATGAAGTATATGGTAAGAATACTACTGAATGTTATCATCCTTCACTTGCAAATAATAAAAATAGAAAAAATTCTCAAGTAAAATTAAAAAAGAACAGTATGCCATTTAATGGTACGGCACAAAGAGTAAAAAATGTTGGAATAGCAGTTATGTGTTCAGAATGTGAGTGTTGGCGATTATTTTACTCTAAACAAAAATTAAATGAGCAAGAAAAAAGTTATTAATTGCATATTTAGATACTATTGAGTATTCATGTGGTTCATCATTTTATAATGCAGAAAATTTATTTGGCTTTCAGAATGAACAATCAATTAATAATAAATCAAATAATAATACTGAAATAGAAAGTGATTCTGAATTAATAATTACTAGATCAGAATTAAAAAATAAAAAACGTGTTAGCAATGAAATTGAATTAAGTAATAGTGAGAATAATTCTGATTATGATAATTCATTATTAAATCAAAATGAGGAAGACAATTTGCAATCAGATTCAGAAATTTGGGAAAATTCATTTTATAGAAGTACTGATATTAATAGTGAATTAGCAGATAATAATGAAAGTGATGATTGCAATAGTTATGAATTAGCAAATAGCAATGAAAGTGAAGATGATATTAATGAATCTGTAGATAGTGAAGAAAGTGATAATT